AAACAAAAAAACACCCCAATTACAAATCGATTTTAGAAACAAATTTTTTCTTGATCAAACAGGCCTAGATTTTATGCATTGTCTGTTATTTGTTGTGCCTATAGGTCTCACCACTCCCTTCACCTCATTCCATTTTACACTTTCCAATAGATGCAGTTTTTAACTACCTTTCAATACCAATATGTTTTATGAAATAATCCCAAATAGGCTTTTATTTCAGAATGTCTAATTGTAGATATTTCCTATGAAGATATGAAGTACATCATAACCAAGCTTAAGAAAAAAAAATCAATTTCCCTCATTTTTTGTAAGCAACACATTATTAACATTTTATTGTCAATTTTTAAATAAACACTACAATGGCCCAAATGCCCATCACCTGTTATATAAAATGTTTGAAAGTTACATTTACATTAATTAGTCAAAAAAGTAAGTGTTGTGAGCATTGATGGCACTCTCAACAATTTTTTCCAAGGTCCACTCTTTATTAATACTTTGCAAATACCACAAATGCTTGCATATAAGTAATCCCAAAACTGAGTTTGAAAAACCCACACATACCCCAAGCTGAATTATCTAGCTCAAATTGGTAGTGGGCTGTAATTTTTAAAAGGAAGGTCTCTGTAACGAATGTGAAAATCCATATAATCCTGGACTGAACAAGGCCATAAATTTAAAACTATGAGCATGCTGTTAAATACATAGTCCTGATCCAGGAAACATCTACAGAATATTAATTACTTTTTTCATTACCCCTGCAGAAATGCTTGTGAGTTAAGAAGATAATTCTCACTCAGTTTTTTAGTCATGCATGAAATGTGTATTCTCAGCATCACACTTCACAGGCTTCTGTGATATAGTCAAACCACTAGAGGGGAGCATAGCCCTTTAAATTGCATTATACTTGTTTCTTTCTACTACAGCCTTGAGGGCTTTGCTATTTATAACATTTAAGGAAAAAGAAGTTTTCTGCCAAAATCAAATGAGCCCTGCAGGATCTACACGCCAGAGTAATAGAGTGTCCTTTAATTTTAAAATATTACCACCCCATGGATGTCTCAACCAGTCGTCCAAGCAGTGAACTGATAAAATAGATATGAAGTTCTTGAACTTTCTCCTCTTACAAAAAAACTCCCCTTTCTTCTCCTTTTTGCCATCAATTGTTCTCTCATAACAAAGCCAATGAACATGTGCAGAATGTTCCTCTATGGTATTGAAACCAGTCAGTCAACTTGGCTTTCTTTTGAGTTACCCCATTCCATTCCTTCCTGCTTGTCTTTCATTCTTTCTACTCCAACAGATATTCAGAATTATATCACCACTAAGCTTGTTCAGTCTTTGCTGGGCTGGTTGGGAGGGTTGTATCCTGTTCTCTAAACATTTTCCCCTTTGGAAAAGCTGTGTTTACCCAGCCACAACCTTCACATGCATCTTGTTTCTCAAGGACCCGCTTTTGACTCTACAAATTTTCTAAATGGCACCTGAGTTCATTATTAGAAGATAAACTGGTTCTTGATAATATTGTTCTTGAGGTTTTGTTTTTTTTTTGGGGGGGGTTGGTTTTTTGTTTTTGTTTTTGTTTTTTTTTTTGTCGTGTCAGGAGTTGCTCCTGTTGTGAGAGAATTGGCCATCTGCAAAGACGTTGCACAGGAGACACCCGGATGATTTGATGTTTTTTTTATCATCCTTGTGGGAGGCTTCTCTCATGTCCCCACATGAGGAGCTGGAGCTGATAGAGGGAGCTCATCCGCCTCTCCCTGGATTCGAACCTGCGACCTGTCGGTCTTCAATCCTGCCAGCACAGGGCTTTAACCCACTGCGCCACCAGGGGCTCAAGAACCGGGGGTTCTTGAGTTTATAATGTGCCTTCAACTTGACTCTCACAGGAGTCCTGTCCTGAGTATCACTTGGAAATATTTGTTCAGAACACGTTTCCTATTGCCTTTCTCTAATAACTTCACCATGTGGGCTTTCTTATCCATCGTAGGGTGCTTCCAGCACAGTTCAGGGATGGAGCCCACCAGATCCCATAAAAAAACACATAACTACTTCAGGTGAGACTTTCTACCTGAACTGTGCCGGAAGCCTTCTATAATGGAGAAAGGATAACATAGGAGACTTCCCGTGTTCTTGTTGCAAACAACAGGGGCAATGCGAGGTGGGAGGTGGGGAGTTAGGCAGTGATGCTTTCCCCTGTGTGATGGAGAAGATAGCAATGTGGGGCACAGAGCAACAGATTCCCCCACTGCCCCACAAAATTGATGTAATGTCTGGTGAATCCACTGTTGCCCATGTTAGAGCACTTACTGTCATGAGGTACTAAGTGTGTGACTTGACCTCAAAATCATCCAATGGGTTTCCATGGCTAACTGGGGCTTAAACCTCTGGTTTACCCTCGGCCTGCTCCAACATGTCATGCTGGCCCTTAGGGAACATTCTAGGGTACACATATTACATAGGATGTAAACCACAGGTGAGAGACAAATGCCCCACAAAGTGAATATGGTCAGATGTCTAACCTAATTGACACATCTCTATAGCAAACTACATAATCTATTATTCCATCTGTACAGTAATTCTCTTGAGATGTGTATTCAATGAGAACATGGATAAAAATACATGGGATACCTTGAGACAAGAGACAAGAGTAGAATTACCATATCTCCTAGACAGTCAGGTCCAAACAATGATGAAGACAAGACAGGTGATTTGGAGTATAATATGCATTTCAACTATTTCTTTACACTTATGTCCTGCTAGCTGAATATGAGAGGAATGCCATATACTTCTAAAATGTAAACTCTTTCAGCAACTACAGGCATGAGGGTGTTGAAAAGATGGTGTAAAGTGAATGGAACATATCTGAAACATTGTATTAATATTTATTTTGCTTTTATTTGTTACAAGGAATACTTTTTAAAGTTTTTAGGGAGGGAGGTAGACTTTTGCAGGTTAATCAACAGAATCTATTAACTATCCTTGATACCTGAGAGTATCCAGCCTGACTGATCGATATATGTTGGCTTAAGCTTTTCTGGACTGCAACTCACATCATCAGTTGGGAGATACAGTTAGGTTGCCAGGATGTAATGAAAGAGATGAGAGGGAATATGGATGTTAGAAATGCTAACATTTATCATTACCTTGACTGTCATTAAGAGAACAGGCATCCTATCATAGATGAGCTGCACAGCATGTATAGCTTGGTGAGAAAAATAGATGGGACAGTTGACATAGCCTGCTTTTTAATTATAATAAAATATTTGTTCTGTACTAAAAGAAAACAGACCGCATTTTCTTCCATCAGTTACTGCCGTTTTTCCTTATTTTATTCTGCAACTTACACTGTGACTCAATGGCAGTAACTCTTAATGCTTTCTGTGGTATTTTAATTACTCTACCCTTTTTTCATCATAAGTGAAAAATTAATGGTAGTGATGATGATGATCCGATGAAACATCACTGAAAGTGACTGTTCATGACAAAATGATAATATTTTTGTTCTTTTGTTTGTACTGCATTGGGAACATGCATATCCACTTTTCATGTTTTTGTTGTTGCCTGCCTTCTCCTCATTTCTGACCTATGTAAACTCCAAGGACCTCATCACATTAAGGCTGGGATTCACCATGCATCGTGGCAAATTCAGCGGGGTCCAGCAGGGGCATGGAGAACCCCTCGCCCCACATCACACACCTTCCCCCTCACCCCAACCCCTGGAGGGAAGCGTCCATCACCCAGCTTCCCCCCATTTTTTCCTATGCAACATGGGAAACCTTCCATTTTACCACCATGGCGGCTTACCACGCTTCCACTTCACCTGCGGCCAGAAGTAGATCAACATCGTGGGATGGGAGCCAGCAGGCTCCATGCCACAAGTGAGTGGAAGTGTCGTAGAATGGAAAATTTTGCCTGTCTGATGAGGCTGTAAGGCAAATCTATCACAGGGCTTTTCTAGCAAGATTTGTTTAGAGGAGGTTTGCCATTGCCTTTCTCTAAGACTGAGAGAGAGACTTGTCAAAGGTTATCCAATGGATTTCATGGTCATACAGGCATTCAAATCTGGTCACCCGAGTCATAGTCCAATGCTTAATGCTCAAACCACTACAGCATGCAGGCTTCTCTTTCCACAGCACCACGGTAAGGCAGCTTTCCTGAGAAGTAGTGGTGGCCCAAAGTCACATGGTGAATTCCAGGACTATGCAAACATTTAAAATCGAGACATTCCCCCCATTCTAGATCCACCACTTTAAACATTACTGTATACTGGTTCTCCCAAATCAGTTGTAACTATAAATATGATATGAAGTTTGAAGCATAATGAAAAATATAAAAGCATAATGAATGGAAAAAATGGAATGCAAGTCCAAGTAGCATAATCAGAATCATAGAATCATAAAATCAAAGAGTTGGAAGAGACCTCATGGGCCATCCAGTCCAACCCCCTGCCAAGAAGCAGGAATATTGCATTCAAATCATCTTCAGAACATCAAGAAATAATTTCCAGGTCCAGCAGAATATGACAGAAATGTTTCCACCATTCTAGCTATTATCAAACGTTGGAGGTCTTGCTGCCAAGTTTATTACACATTACAGTGTTACTCAGAACTTTCTGCAATGGAGTAGAGATTAAAGTAATGGAGGAGAACAGATCTTTCACAGAGGTTCAATGAATATCAATCTCATATCACTAACTAAGAATAAAAATGAAACAAAACATTCATTCTTATTTTGTTATTAGGCCGGTCTGCATCTCAGGATATTCTCGTAGATCTCATGGAATTCGATGAAAGGATCTCCAAAATTGAAAAAGGTACATTTTTAAAACCCTGCATAATTAAACAATAGTGGTTTGTTAGTATTCTTTTTTTTTAATTAATGCACTTCAAAAGACTGTGATCTCCAGTGTTTGCCAAGTTACAGTTCAATTAATTGAAATCAAATAATTCTGTAGAATTTTCTATACTTAAGATGCAAGTCTTTACATTTTGCATTCCTTTGGGTGTGAATGAAATAGTTTTGTTTTCTCTAGGCACGTTTTTGGATTTTTCAATTGTTATTATACCTGGGAACTTTTTTTGGAAAAAATGTATTCTGACGATCAATTCTACAATTGCAAAAATCTGTTCTGTCAACAAATTCTAAACTCAGTTGAGCATAGACTAGAGGCACATCAACATTGACCATCTAGGTCATATGTGCCTCAGATCAACTTTATGATGGTGAAATGCCTCATGGAGCTGACCCAGGATAAGGTAGGGCAAGGCCACCTTAATGCAGACTTGCCTCACATTAACCAAAGTCAGGAGAAAGGCTCAGAATTCAGACAATTCTCTTACTTTGGCCTCAACAGTTGGGTCAATCTGAGAATGGAAAAAAAGATGACAACTGTTCTCACTGCCGTCTTGTGTTTGTTGGGCTCAGACAACCCAGGGATACAGGATGGCAGGAACCATCCACTGCAGTCTTTCATGCTGTGCTAATATCAAGTCATGATACTGGTCCTACTTGTTGGCAATCACTAGCAGTAGTGATTGAGGTGATGCAGAAATTGAGGAAGGTAGGAGGAGAGATGGGATCAATTCCTCCTCTCCTCCCTCCCCCCCCCCAACACCTTCCAGGAGAATGGGGGAGTGGTGGTAAGGGTGGTGCGTAGGACTGTTGAAATATGTTTGGTGCGATGAGTGATTGGATTCCCACCTGTCCCTGCAGTGGTGGAGAAATACCTGCCATAATATTAACTTTTATTTATTTATAACCCACCCTATCTCCCCGAGGGGACTCAGGGAAGTTTCCAACAAAGGATGGCAAATATTCAATGCCATGAAACAATACAAAATGAACAAATAGTCTCATGAATAAAACATCTATAACAAATTATAACAACTACTCACAAAGTTTAAATAATTAAATAAAACATATAGATCTATGAAAACTACAAAGCAACAAAATGAATCAGTTTATAAATAATTTTAAAAAGTCAAAATAACCATTGTTATATAATTTATCCACTCCTGTCATCCCATGCCAGAGCCAATCCAGCATACACTGTGTTGAATTTGCCTTGGTTTAGGGCAGTGTTTCTCACTCTGCTCATCCAGGCATTTTGGACTTCAGCTCCCAGAAATCCCACCCAGCTTATTCTGTTGTTGAAATTGACTGTCTGATTCTATCCAGTGCTACAGTGCTATCCAGTGCTATCCAGTGCTACATACAAAGCAGTCACTGTTGTCTGTTTTTGGTTAAAAATTATTTAGCTGCTTGTGCTCCTTCTATTTTATCAGTTGTACACTTATTTGTGAAATACTTTTGACATGAAATAAAAATAAATCCAGTGCTTTGGTCAGCCCTGTTTCCTCCTGTGTGAAGTCTTATCTACACTGACCACTTAGATTGGTCTAGAAGAGGATCAGTCCTGCAAGAGCCAAATGCCAGTTGGGCCAATTCCTAAACAAAATTGATTGCATATGTCCCCACTGTTATTCTGCATTGCCTAAACTTGGATAGTCCAGGAGCATGGAATAGCAGTCCTCTTCCCCCAGCCCTCTAGTGACCCTTTGTTAAAGCAGTCTCTAGCTACAACAAAGGTCCTATCTGTTCACTGTCATTTGCCATGACATTGACTGAAGCAACAGGGAGTGCTGGGAAGGGAGGAAGAGAAGAGGAAGTGTTCCTTCTCTCTCCTTTCCCTCAATGCTGTGTTCTCTGGCCCAGTTTACCTGTCCGAAAGTGTCTCCCCTATGAACCATTCAAGGGCCTTAAGATCATCTGGGGAGGCCCTGCTCTCAGTCTCTCCACCATTGCAGTCACATTTGGTGGGGAGGAAAGACAGAGCCTTCTCCATGGTGGCCCCTTGACTATGAAACTCCCTCCCTAAGGAGGTTAGATCTGCTCCCTCCCTCCTGATTTTTCACAAGAAACTAAAATCCTGGCTGTGGGAGCAAGCCTTCATAGAATAGACAGATTTTATTGGTGAAGATGAGACTTTATGGACCACAATTTGGACTGATTTGGAGGATGTTTTAAACCTGGTGAACTGTTTTTAATGCCTATTTATAATCATTTATGTGATTGTGTATTTTATTGGTTGCTTTTATATTGTATTGGCATCGAATTGTTGCCTACTGGAAGCCACCCTAAGTCTGTCTTCAGAGGCTGAGAATAGGATGGGATAGAAATGTTCTAAATAAATAATAAATAAATGATGTCATTACAAGTGACCAAGAAGAAATAAGAATCGTGTCAAGTCTGCCAAGACTCAGGAAGACAAATAGGGTGGCTGCCCAGTGGCAACAAACCACATTCAGCAATGCTGGGTGATAGAGACTCCACAGTAGCTATGGGAATTCCTGTGGGTATACTATCTACCTTGGCTGATCCAGCATCAGCCACCCCAAATCAGTCCCTCAGTATGTGTCAGTGTACATCCTTTCTGAAAGGGCACTGAGCTTCTCTAAATTTGTGAGGAAGACACAGTTCTTTCCCATATATCATTAATTTTATTAGATGAGAGCTGTCCTCCTCCTATTATTATAAAAAACAAAGGCAAAAGAACATCTCATATGGTCTTAAAAGCATTCAGTTAGATGTGTCAACATTTCAAGGCACCACTTCTTCTCAAAGACCAGGAAAACAAATATGAATATTCTTTGCATTTCTAGTCTGAAGTGACTGACACCCTCTTCCATTTTGTTTTGCAGCCTTGACTTTGAATGGAAAAATTGTAATAACTGGTGATAAGCTGTTTGCCAGCACTGAGAAGACAGCGGATTTTGATGGCACAGTAAAAATATGCAAAGCAGCTCACGGCTCCATTGCAGCCCCTAAAAATGCAAAAGAGAATGCTGCTGTTATGCGCTTTGTGAAACAATTTAATACATATGCATATTTAGGCATTACTGAAGGGCATATTCCTGGGTATTTCAATTACCTGACTGGGAAACCCCTGAATTTTACAAATTGGTATGAAAATGAGCCCATGGGCAAAGGTACAGAAAAATGTGTGGAAATGTACACTGATGGCACCTGGAACGACAAAGTGTGTAGCTATTCCCGCCTCACTGTCTGTGAGTTTTGAACTAAACCTCATTGCAAATCTTAACAACATGAAAATAGTTTTGCTACAGTCCACTTAATGAAGTATTGCATCTATACCCCAGAACAACTGGATGTTTCTTGCAATGTAACTTGACATGTCTGTGATTATTCTGTTGTCAAAGGGGGATGGGGAGACAATTAAACATGAATGCATTTCACTTTGCTTTGCTCTTGTTTCTTGCAGACAGAGACTAAGTTCCTTCTAAACCAACAAGATCAATATCAATTTAGTAAAATTACAGAAATGCAATTTTTGGAATGAAAATATAAAAACACAACAATATGTCATAATTGCCATAAAAATCTGCTTTCCTCTAATCTATCTATCTATCTATCTATCTATCTATCTATCTATCTATCTATCTATCATCTATCTATCTATCTATCTATCTAAAGTGCTCTGTGCATAATGAGTACCTTAAAAACAAAAGAACCAATGAACGAAATCACACCAAATTAGGCAACAAAACGTCTCACAACACAAGAAGTGACCATCACTCAAAAAATTATGATTTTGTCACTTGGGAGTTGTAGTTGCTGGGATTTATAGTTCACCTATAATCAAAGGGAATTCTGAACTCCACCAGTGATGGAATTGAACTAAACTTGGCACACAGAACTCTATGACCAACAGAAAATACTGAAAGAGATTTGTGGGCATTGACCTTGAGTTTTGGAATTGTAGTTCACCTCCATCCAGAGAACATTGTGAACTCAAACAATGATGGATCTGGACCAAACTTGGCATGGATACTCAATATGCCCAAATGTGAACAGAGATGGAGTTTGGGGGAAATAGACCTTGACATTTAGGAGTTGTAGTAACTAGGATGTATAGTTCACCTACAATCAAAGAGCATTCTGAACCCCACCAACGACAGAATTGGGGCAAACTTCCCACACAGAACCCACATGGCCAACGGAAAATACTGTGTTTTCTGGTGGTCTTGGGTGACCCTTCTGACACATCCCTGGTGACCCCCCACCCCCAGGGTCTTGACTTTCCAGGTTCAGAAATGCTGCCTTAAGACCATCCAGTCCAACTCCCCTCACCAGGGCAAGAAAACATAATCAGAGCCCTCCTGACAAAGAACCATCCAGCCATTCACACACATACATATATGTATATGACAGATGCAGTATCAAAGATTTGAAAGGGACCCCTAAAGAAGGACAATTATATGTTGCATGTTCCAGAGTAGGCAAACCAGACAATCTCCACATCAACACTGGCAAAGAAACAGCAAGAAATACTGTTTACCCACAAGCATAAAGACATTACATATATTAGAAACCAACACTTTCTCATTATTTTATTTTCCAGACCACCAGACTGGGCCACAGCAACACATGGCAGGAGACGGCTATTATATATATATATATATGTGTGTGTGTGTGTGTGTGTGTGTGTGTGTGGAAAGGGTGTCTTTACAGAAAGGGTGGAGATAGAAAGCTGTACTCCACCAATGATGGAATTGAACCAATGGGGCACACAGAACTCCCATGACGAACAGAAAATATATATCAATGTTTGGCTGGGGGGAGGGCACCAAAATACTGTTTGCTTACCGTTGAAAATTACTTAGGGCCACCTCTGTGAGGGAGTAATTATTTACTTTCCAACCAGCTATGTTTTGACTGATGTCCCCTTAGCCCATATTCCATCCTTGCCAAGATTGTTTTTCTTTCTCACATAAACATTTAAAAGCCCATTTTTGTCAGAGATAAGTCCTGCATAGCACTTCAGATGCTGCTACTAAACTGTAATAATCGTCTAGTGATGAGGGATGATGGGAATTGTATTCCAACAACATGTAGAGCCCACTTCATTCTAACAGGAGGAGGATGGAAACCCTGTTACTTTGGAAATATTCACAGCACCATACTTTAAAATTAGGCTTGCCTCTTTTTATTAGTCATGCTTTCCCCCATTAGCTCTGCATGTTGAATTTTAGCCTCCCATGCAGCTATTAAAATATGGCATCAGTTTTAATGTTCCTGCAATAAAGCTGAACTGCACTGATTGTTATTTCCAAACAAGGCTGAAATATTTTACTAGCTTTTTCAGCTATGCCTTTAATAAGAGCCTAATCTGCAACAGTGAGGGAAATGATATGGCCATATAAGTGTTGATATGGAGATCATCCCATCGGCTTAAACCAACATAGCCAATGGTGAGGAATGTTTGGAGACTCATCAAGGGAGGCATACACCATTCTTTCCCTAATGTACAGACTAGAGTTGGATAGGTTCAGTTCAGAAAAACCTAAAAGTCATTAAAACGTACCAAATTTGGGCTTCCGAAACAGTTTTGAACCATGCAGGAAAAGTGGGAGGGGCAAATCCAAATTGAACCACTTTTTTTTCGGAAATATTCCATAATGTTCGGATTTCTCCCAAGGTTATTTTATTCCTTTCTTCTCCGGTTTTGCCCTTCTTCTTGTCCCTCTTTGGCTTGCAAGGAAGAAGAAGAGGGGGGGAAACCGGAGAAGGAAGGAACGAACTCCTCCAGTTCCCCCACTTCTTCTTCTCACGACCGAGAGGGACAAGAAGAAGGGCAAAACCAGAGAAGGAAGGAATTAACTCCTCTGGTTTTGCCCTTATTCTTGTTCCTCTCGCTCACAAGGGATAAGAAGAGGGGGGAAAACCTCTTCTTATCTGTGAAGAATGGAATTGACTTTAGAATCAAACCACCTGAAACGAGGTTTTTTTTGCTTTTTGGATCAACCAAGCCTAGTACAGACCTCAACAAACGGCAATGTTTGTGGTATGTAAAAGCCTCACTTGCTGATTTCTGCAGCTCAGAAAACATGGTAGCAGGCTGGAATATTCTTTTGTTCCATTGGCAACACTTCCTTTTTTACTCTTCTCGGTGTCCGTCACTCAAATTGAAGAAACACTATTGCAGACTACAAACACAATTCAAACACCTCCCAACCACAGATAAATCAAGATGAGATGAAATGGAACAGAATGGAAACCACTGTGAATAAGCTATCTTAATACCATCTGGTTCTTTTGCAAACCCACTGGCAGATGTTTTCTACCTGTGCAGCCTGTTGCTGCTCGAGCATTGCATTTCTGCTAAGGGTCAATCAATATTACAGCCATTTAATGACACATAAATCACCAGTTTGTTTGAAAATGTTCTGTTTACTTCAACTGGGATTTTTAACTGTTTGTTCATGTTAGTTGTTAAATATTGAAAAAGACAATTTCCTGTTTGGACAAACTGGCATCTGTGCTGGCATTTGCACAGCTTTTCAGATGATTAACACGGATACTATTGTGCTTACATATACTTTTTGTGTGTCTGAACATTAAGCTTTATATTATGCATGATTTAATTGGTATTTAATATAACTCATATTGCTTCATTTATCAGAGCACTTCATTGGCATGACTGGTCATGCTCACACTAGTGGCCCACTGCATGTAGAAAATGCTGGATTAATGGCTCTTCTTATGGTAGTAGCTCAAGACATTTTGTTAGCTCAATAAGCAGAAAATCTTTCCCATAAGTCAAGAAACAAAGGATACTTAGGTCCAATCCACACAGCTGAATAAAATTCCACATTGTCTGCTTTGAACTGGAATATATGGCAGTGTGGACTCAGATAACCCAATTCAAAACAGATATTGTGGGATTTTCTGCCTTGATACTCTGGGTTATATGACTGTGTGGAAGAGCCCAAAGGCATTATAGAAGGACTGAAGTTTGACACACTTTAATTGCTATGGATCAAAGCTATAGAATCATGGCACTGCAATTTTATATGGTTTCTCCTTCTCTACCAAAATGTGTTTGTGCCTCAGCAAACTAGAAATCCCAGGATTCTATAGCATCAAGCCATG